AAGCCTGATATCTGACTAAAAAGGTCTAGGTAATCCATTTTCTCCAAGATCTTCTAGAGCTGCAGGCTGACTACATTCTCAATATCTTTGGAAACAGGATGAAAATTGTCCATAACCGAGTCCATGATGATTCCTTGAGGACAAGGTAGACCACCTCTTTAAGATCCAGCCAAACCAACCCCTCCATCAAGGATGCATTCAACACACCTAAATATAACCACATGTCATCTCCTTGATCTAATACATATGAGACCACACTACTGCCTTAATAACTCTGTTCACTGTTTGGGAATCAATTGGCTTGAATTCTTCCCAGATATACAATGCCCCTTATATATTGTGCTTGCATTATGTAGTAGAACACAAGAAGTAATATGTAGAAGTAGTATTCCATGAACTCAAGTTGCAAGTTTCTGAATAAATGAAAGAGTACCAAAGTACATCTGTCTTATTTCAGCCAAATCTCATTTTATTGACCCATTTTCAATCCATTTTGTTCTCTGAACCTCAGTTTATAGTCTCTACAATCTTCACTGTGCCATACATAATAGAAAACAAAGTGGCATGAAGCAAATTTGATAGTACCTAATCTGCAAATGCTGAATTTATATGTTTTACATATAAATGTTAAGTAGCTTTGCAGGGCATGGGAGGGCACAGTGCAGAATCGGAATGAGTCAACTTGCCATGGCCAACTTGCCATGGCCAACTCACCACCGCCAGCTTGCCACGGCCATCTCACCATGGACAACTCACCATGGGACAACTCACCACAGCCAGCTTGTTGTGAGACAAATAACTGCAGGATAATTCAACAATTCAATTTAATTATTTAAAATAATTTTAAAAATAATTTTAATTTTTGTGAGAAACATTTCATTTTGTCCCTCCTTTTGCATCCTTTCTTTAATGATTCTATTCCACCATTTCTTCGATACTAATGTAATTCTTGTCCTGTGGCCAGTTGGCCATGGCGAATTGTCCCATGGCGATTTTGCCATGGCAAGTTGTCCCATGGTGAGTTGGCCACAGTCAGTTGTCCTAGACCCATGCAGAATATTATGAGGGCTCTCAAGCAATAATTTAATATCAGATGGATAGTAATAGTAATAGCACTTAGACTTACAGCCTCCAATAATCTTGGTCCTCATTTTATCAACCTCAGAATGATGGATGGCCAAGTCAACCTTGACCCCAAAAGGATGGAACTCCAGACTGTAGGCAGAGATAGCCTGCAATACTGCATTCTAATCACTGCCACTTTGTTTTCAGTTATATATGGTAGTCTCTCCAATATCCTGGTTATATGCCATATCATTACCTGCACCTTAATTTGCACCCAGAGCCACATTGGAAGCCAATGCTGCTCATGGAGCAGAGATGTAACTTGAACTGCCTGAGAAGCATACATAACTGCCCCTGCATCTGCATTTTGCACCAGCTGCAGCTTCCTCCATTCAGGAGGAAACCAGAGCACGAATGATTGAAAACAAAGCGTCCCAATCCAGGAAAGGGTGCAACTGACATGCAATATGAAACTCTGTGAAAGCTTTTCTGGTTAGTTTGTGAGACAGTCCAGACAGGAAGTGCAGCCAGAAATACTGTTACTTTATTGTAAGGATACATTCATAGAATCTTGCAAGTTTGAAAGTACATTCCCTCCTTCCCCCCCCCCCCGCCTTTACAGTTGAAGAAACTAAGGAAGATCCATCCTGAGATGCTTGCCATACCCCCATTCCTCCTGTGGATTGAGATCATGTTTGTCTGATCATGTCTACTCTGAGGCTCTTTCTCCTGTCTCCCAAGGTTATTTCCATATGCTATTATTTTTCTAGTCATGTCTGCCAACTACTTCTCACAAAGAAATCATGAGGCCAGGAAGATCCTAGATTGCATGCAAGGTCTGTTTGGGGCAATGCTCCCCCATTCAGAACAAGAGATCACAAATCCCTGGAATCAGATGATCCCAAGCCCAGAGCCACTTCATCTTGTCAAGATTGACCTGAAGCCTCTTGTTCCTCATCCAAACCTTAACAGTTTCCAGACACCAAGACAGGATGTTAACAGCATTGCTTAGTGTGCCAGGGATGTAAATCTGGATATTGTCAGTCTACTGATGATGGCTCACTCCAGTGTGATGCATGATGTCACCCAATAGCTTAATGTAGATATTAAACAGGAGCAGAGATAGTACCGAAGCCCGTGGAACTTAATAAAGCAAGAGCCATGACTAGGACGCCTCACTCTCGGTCAATGCCAACTGGAACCAACATTAGAGGAAGGAGGAGAACCAGCACAGTACCGGGCTTCCCAACTCCCAAAGCCAGAAGGATACCATAATCAATGATATTGAAGACCGCCAAGAAGTCAAAACATACTCAAGGAATACCTGCTGACCTTGAATGCAACCAAGAATTTCAAACAAAGCAGCATCCTGTCAGATGTATTTAAAACTAGATTCTTGCACTGAACTAAGAGACTAACTTCCTTCCTTCCAGCTATCTGGTACTAAAATATATGGTTGTTACAAGAACACTTGTTATCTGTAGGCAAGCTATTTCTAGATAGTTTGTTTGCCTTTACTGTCTTTATTATTAACATACATACACAAACATACATCAACAGACATTTTCCTTTTTTTCAGAATGATGCCAAAATTTGAACTTTCCACAGGGTTTCATTCAGGCAGCAAGCCCTAGAATTGATGATACTTACATTAACATTTTTTTTCTTATTTTAACATAGGTTAGGCTGCACCCTAGTATATATTTCATATAGGTTTGGCTATTTATTTTCATCCTGCCCGTTTAAGGTGTCCTCCACCCACCCCCTGAGGTTTTTGGACTTTACTGAATAGAATGGGATATGACTTTGGGTTGCCTAAAAATTGGGGGAGGGTTGTTGATAAAAAAGGCAGCTAAGACTTGTTTGAACAGAAGCAATCTGCATCAAGCAATGCTAATTTAGAATGCTATCCATAGTACAAGGCAATTCAAATGTATCTGAACTGAGAAAGTAAGTTTAATGTCATGGTTATGAATAACTAGGTATGGCAGTTGCTATTTGAATGTTTTATGTTTAAAGCAAAATTCTTCCCAGTACTGTAGTGATAGAATTCTTCAGTACTTTAAGTGAAATTGTGTGTGTGTGTAATTAATTCAGTTTGAAAACCCAATAGCAACCAAGCTAATATACAAACAGAACAACAATAGCAAACATGCCTAAGGGCACCATCTATCTTACATCAAGGCCTAGGAGAACAATAAGGTATTCAGCTTTATGGTATGCCAATGGAGATGTGTGTCTGATTCAAAAGGACAGATGCTACAGGAAGGAAGTTGCACTTCCTGGGTCATGATTAATAATAATGTTGATTTGAAGGGAGCTGGAACGAGCCAACTCTGCTGGCCTATATTGCCCAGGCAGAAACCATGGGAGGTTGGTAGTCCTTCAAATAACCTACCCTATGCCATATAGGTCTTTATAGGTAATAAGGAGCACCTAAAATTACACCCACAAGCAGACTGGCAACCATTTTGGCTTGCAAAGCAGAAGTGTCACAAGGGCATGCCAAGGAATGACCATTATTACCAGTGCTGCTGCATTCTGGATCAGTTGAAACTTCTGAGCAATTTTCAAGTGCAGCCTGGAGTAACAGTGCATTGTTGTAATCAAACTGCCAGTATAACATGACAAGCTGAGACCAAAGTTATGCTTATTAGGTCTAGACATTAGACTAGATAACATGGCATTCTATTTGCAGTGTTAGTAATAACCAGTTATTTAAACATTTTTCTTCTTTTATCACGGGCTGGAAGTTAATAGACCTTTGATCACATTAGTCACTTGAAACTTTTGATGGTTGGCTCCACAATGTGCCGTGGTGTTGTATAAAATTACCTTCTTTATAGCTAGATTCGGTGTTTTTAAATGGACTACCCAAATTTGACTGAACTAGATTCTTTTTTCAAAATTAAAAGTTCCACAGTTGGTTGTTCTGTTCATTTCTTTACCTCCAGTACTTTTGAAAATCAGGGATGTCCCTTGATTTTGTTCATTGGGGAAAGCATTGTGCCAGCTATTCCAAAGGAATTTTAACATAATTATCTGTTCTAGTGATAATGAATTCCCTTAAAGAGTGGAAGAAAATAACTATGAAGCATGATTTTTATCAAAAGTCACCCTGATATTAATCATAGAGCTAGACTGCTTGAGATTGCAGATTTTAGAAGAGCTAGGCCCAACAAATAAAAAGAACTTGATATCTTATAAATTAACAAACTTTTGAGTATATTGCACCATAAGTACTTTGTTCAACTTAATTTAGAATTTATCCAGAAGTTGTTAAATGTGTAGTTGTAATACACAATCTAGAATGAATACTTTCATACATTTTGAGAATCTCAAGACATAAAAAAGGAGTATGATTCTTATTATAAATGATGCCCGGAAAGAAAATTGCTATAAGCCACTAGAGTGACTTTGAAATAAGATGGATGACAAATTAAATAAACAAGCAAGCAAACAAATAAATAAATAAATATTGTAGCTATATACGGTAGTGTAGGATCTGAGCAGAATGTTTTCAATAGAGAACCAGGATAAAGGCACCTTCCTTAAATATCTGTGTGTAGTTATTGTTGTCTTGTTTCTCTAGAACAAGCTTTTAATAATATAGCTGTTTTATCATTTGTTTTGCTTTTAATCGTGTATGTTTAAAATATTTTGTACAATTGCTTTTTCTATTATTCCTAAAATTATTTTAACTATTTTAATTTGAAGTTGTATTATACACAATTTTGGATAGAAAACTATAATTAATATTCTCATCCCAGAGATCTGGTATTTTGTACACATGTGTGTGTGTGTGTGTGTATACACATACATACATACATCATACATGTGTATATATAGACCTTATGTGGTATGGGCTTGCTTTTTTAAAAAAAATGTGTACTTTCTGAGCTTCCTCAGCCTCCAGTCTTTTTTTTTCCTCCTAGATCTGAAAAAGAGAACATTCAGCAAAGCTTTAGCAATGAGGCAAAGACCCGAGTCCTTCAGGCTCAGCAGAGAGAGCAGGATCTGACACAGAAGATGCGGCAAATGGAGGCCCAGCATGATAAAACTGGTAGGTGGTCGGAAAAGATTAGAGCCTGGGCACTCACTCACAAGCCCGGCCCATGCCTTACTGTGAAATGACATCAGGAACACCTGTAACCTTTGGCTGGCCGAAGGGAGCAGATGCTAACTACACCGGAGATTCCGAATTACATATTAGTTAGCGTTTAAAAGAGAAAATGGAAAGTATTGCCCACTGTCTGTTGATTTCAGAGTGCTGCTCTCACATCTGTTGCACCATCTGGATTATGAGTTTATTTACCTGTGTTCAAGAAACGTAAAGCTGAGAGGGACCACAACAAAGTAGAAAAACAAAGGGTTTATTTTTGGCTGGATTTTCAGGCACACATGTTATATAAAGAAAATAGCATCAGAAGCTCTGCAGGAAATGCTCTGAGCTTACAGTTAAAGTCTCCTGAATAGTACTGAACAGTTCCCACAGTACACACATTATAGCTACTCTAAAAGCTTAATGAGTTTGCTTCAGAATCCAAACTGGAGAAAAGCTTTAGCCATTAATTGGTACTTAATTCACTGTCGCAGCTGGATGTAATTCACTGGCTCCAAATTAATATGTTCCTTTATTTAATCTTTGTCGCTTCACACATTTTTGGAATTTGTGTATTCTGTCCTACTCAAATTTAGATACAACTTTAATCTTTTACAGCTACAAGAATTTGCAGCATAGAGTTTAAATTGATAAGTATGGGATTTTGGCAACAGCTGGTAATATGACTGAAACCTCATGTCCTTCAATACAATATTTATAAGTCAGTTTAGCTGACTTATCTTTCTTTACCTTTATAATGTGAAGGTGAAATATTCATAGAAATTCTGACAATAACTGTGTAGTCTTTTAACATTGCTTTTATAGATTTATATCAGAATCTACTATGTATTTAACAGCAAATACATAACAAATTTCCATATACAGAACTGCAGAAAATACTCCCAAAGCGTGCATTTTCAGAACTCAACCTTTGAAACCAAAATTGTAATGAATTTAAATGTGCAATTATGAAAATAAACATTGCGGTAGTAAGCCATGAATCATATATCTCCATCCTTCCAAAATCTGTGTATGTAATTTAACCAGTTACAAATTGAGATTTATGAAAGGGAAAGGAAACAAAATTCAAACATGATTTCAATTTTTCTAAATATTTTATAAATTTACCCAAAATTGACAGTAATCATGGGGAATTATCTATGGCCTAAATATGCAAGTTAGGAATGCAGCAAAATGTGGATTCAAGTCAGATTTCCCAGATTTTCCATTGTGATTATAATGTAATGTAGTACATTCCTGTGAAATGAGGTTAGCTCACTTAAAGATTTGTTTTTTATTAAAATGCCTATACCACTTTCCAACAAACTAGAACTATTATCATTAAATATACTGAATTTCAAACACCACAGTTCACGCTAGATCTTATATGGTATAGGCTTGCTTTTGTGTCTGTGAATAATCTGCTTACTTTTTCATTGGTGAGTTGTGAAGCAACTCTATAACAAGTAAATGAATTGCTGGTAGAATTTCAGGAAATTAATTACAACATGTAAAATTAAATCTGATCATGCCCATGAAGATGCTAAAATATTTGTTGAATTTTATGGGAGGGGGTTTTGGGGGGGAGCTAGGTGAATTTGTAAGGTTTTATTTCTTTTCTACAAGACTGCTTTTTCAGACACTTCTGTCTTTGAAAGAAGGCTAGAGATGCCTGATGTTTTGCAAGGATATATTTCACTATTTCCCCTTCAATATGATGCAGTTCTGTAGCAATAGAAGTGAGGTGACTTTGTATGTTGAATAAAGTATGCTGGTCTGTGCCTCTGTCTAAAGACAGGTCAGAGAGGCAGAGGGTGGTCTCTGGGTCTGTGCACTTACTAGTTATATTTTTGGTTGGAAGTATTTTCTAATTTGTGGCTCCAAATCAGGAGAAATCTGGAACTGAGCTGTAGTTCATAAAAGCTTATACCTTTTAGTAAATATGTGTTAATCTGAAAAGGTGATACCAGACTCCTTCTGATTTTTGGCCACCTTACACTAACACTTTTACAGTGTCTAGTTTGTGGCATACATCAGTGCATAGTGGATGACCCTGTTTCTGTGATATTAGATTGCTACTGTGTTTTTTTCTGTCCAAGCTTTGGCACCTTAATTCTACTTCTCAAAATCTGGTATGAGAAGCAAGGCAATTTTATTATTGGTGTTAAGGCCACTACTGTTTTTTGATTGGCTCATATGCCACCAAGGCAGAATGTATTTAGACACCAACTTATATGAATCTGATTTGAAATCTTTGAGGTGGGATAAGTGCTGCTTTAGTTTTATTTCTTTATTATTGCTTACTGGTACAATGGAATTATTCCTCTCCCCTTTTTAAGGAAAGAAAGTTTTATGGTCTTGTGTTTTATATTATTAACTTTATTCTAATATCTATTTAATCTACTTGTTGTAAATTATTTTAAAAAAAGAAAAATGGGATTAATTTTGAAATAAATGCACATAACATTCTTTTATACTGCTTAAGGAAGTGTCCTGATCTGGTAAACTTGTTTTTTCTGATTATTAATATCACATTTATAACCTGCCTGCAATCATGGTCAAGCTAGCCTGTAACAGATTCACTAGCAATACCTTGAATTAACTGAATTACACCAAAGTTCAGAGTTTTATATGTGTTTGTGATGTCCCAGCTTGTGAATAACTATGAATGGTTACTTATTTTATATACTTATTTGAATGATTTGTATGGTTGCCCATCTTTCAAAATTCAACTTGGGCATTTTCACAAAGCAAAGCCAAAAACAAAAGTTAGCTTGTTTAGTTACCATCTTTTGCTGGTCATTCTTCTTAAGCCAGGATAGCATTTAATTGACAGCCATCCTAATTTGAAACTGTGTTCTGTTTGAATTCTGTAGTAGTGACACAAATCCTAGCAGGCCATTTTTTTCTATAAATGAGCATAAGTATTTGCTTTATGATTTCATTCTACTTAAGTGAATTAGGGGGAAAGGGACTGTTAGTGGCATCTTTCTACATTCTATACAACACTTCTGTGTATAAGCAGCTGTGACTTGGCACAGATACGCAGAACCAGTTGTCATTTAGTCTTTTTACTCATATCTGTAAGATCTCCATTAATCTGCTTACATTTGAGAATGGTACTTCATGTCAAGTGATTTTTTTTAAAGAAAGAACTACAATAATGAAAAAGTAAAAGACAGAAAAAACAGAAAAAGAACTAATCTGAATAGCAATTATATTAAATTGCATGGAGTTTTATCTGTTATTTTGTTATTAATTATAATGTTGCTATTTCAAATAGATTCCAAATCATATTTTTCCTGCAATTCCTATCCTTTCCAGTGATCTTAATTCTTAAATTAATTGAAAGTTTCTATCAGTTAGATGGAATAAGGCAGGATTATTTGCATAGTTTGAAAACATCTGACAAATTAGGGGCCTGGGATTTTCATTAAAAATGTGGATAAAACCTTTATGGATGGTATAGACCAGTGATGGCGAACCTTTTAGAGACCGAGTGCCCAAACTGCAACCCAAAACCCACTTATTTATCGCAAAGTGCCAGGGCCGCATTAGCATTGTGGTGCCCTCAGGGGGGCATGGCTCACTGGGTGGGTGTGGCTGCGGTAGTCATGGCAGACTGGGTGGGCATGGCCGGGGTGGGCGTGGCCACCTCGATGTTGCTCGTGGGGAGTGCCTGTGGGGACTGGGCGGGATTGGAGGAGATCCAGGGGTCTCTAGTGGGTGGGGCGGCAGGCAGGAGGCTTTTCCTGCAGGGTGAGGCAGGGGATAGGGTGGGGGTGCCATTGCTGCAGGGCAAGGCGAGGGAGGGACGGCTGCTGCCTGACACCATCGGCCCCCGCACACAGAGGCCAGTGAGCGTATGGGGGCGTGCTCTACTACCTCTACTCAAGCTGCACGAGATGCTGGTGGCAGCGGCGGGAGTGCCACCTCTGGCATGCGTGCCATAGGTTCATCATCACTGGTATAGACTAGCTACAGTATATTTGTGGTATTTTCCCATTGTTAATATATTAATATTCCACAACTTGCTGCACTGTTTCAGCACTGTACATTGGTGGATATTAATTGTGAGAGGGATAACAATATTTCATGTTTTAGAATAGAATAACAGAGTTGGAAGGGACCTTGGAGGTCTTCTAGTCTAGTTTTTTCTATACACTGTTTATACTTCATAATTTTGCTATATAGTTTTATATTTCAAAAGAACCATTGGAGAGAGTGTGTGTGTGTAATCCATCACGTTATTTTTTATAGTACCAATGTTGGCTAGAGCACCCAAAAGGAATAAGAAACAGAAAGCTGAAGAAATTAAAAGATATGTGATAAGAAAAAAGGAAAGGAAGTGCAGGTAAAATTAGATTACACCATCCCTATCTTTGCTAACATTACAACCTTCCATTGCTTCCACCAGGCCCATACAGCAGCTCATAGAATGCCTTATGTTTTTTTCTTTTTAACTTTTGTCTTACAGAAATTCATCAACCCTATCAAAATATGACTTTCTTTTCCTTCCTCTCAACCTATTTGCAATTCAGTCCTTCTTTATTCTCTCTACATGACCAAGTCACCTCAGTATGTTCTTTATTCATTAAGCACTCATACTTCCTTGATCCTATCTAAATCTTCTTATTTTCCCACACATTAAGTATCCTGGTCCCACTATTTTCAATATATTTTTAAGTTTCTTCTGTTAGACTGGGGTTTTTTTCTTTTCACTTTTTATGTAATATATATTTTGGCCATTATTGGAAATAATGTATATATTGGAGCTAGCCAAAGAGTAGTCTTACCTTGGTCTGTATTATCATGGATGCATTAACCTTGTCAAGAACAGATGTAGTTGGCGCACTAGCTTAAACTGGGCAAAGATACTCCTATTTACATCTTCTTGGGCATCTGCTTCTTGGTGAATACAGATGCACTCACAGACTGCAAACCTGATTCTTTAGGGAAATGTTGCTCCATTTAAAACAGGTTGCACTACAGTTCCAGAATCCATCTATCACTCTCTCAAGCACTTCTGCCAAAGATTGGCTTCTTATTATGAGAAATCTTGTCATATCTGTGTTTAAACTGATGTTTAAACATGTAAGCATAGAAAGTACATCATTAGAATCTGCTAATCTTAGTTAGAATGAATGTAAGAGATTTGTGCATAGAAAATATTGTTGTATCATCTTTCCTCTATTCTTCATGTGGTAGATCTTTCATACAATAATTTGCAATAGCTGCACTAGAAAAATCAGTGTAGATGTAGTAGTAGTGGCAGATTACAACATCCTCTTTGCCATTGAAGCTATAGTACATTCTTTAAAATGGGTTCTAGCTTCTGCTGATTTATTTTGAATTTCCTCACCATTGCTGTGGTTGGCATCCCATTTTCATTCCTCTGAACTTCCTGACTTATCAGCATGGAGAAAATATTCAGAGGCAGTAGCTCTCCCATTTCTTTAGAAATATGGACTTCCTATAACCATAAATCACATTCAAAATTAATGTTTTTGAATAATAAACTATATTCTCCTAATTAAATAGTCATCTTACTGCCCTGAACAGATCATAATAAAAAAAAATGCCTTGTCTGAAATCATTTGGGGTGATACTCGTTCACTAAATTTCTGTACTACTAATTTGAGAGGAGCCAGTTTGGTGTAGTGGTTAGAGTAAAGGTAAACTTTTCCCCCGTCCAGTTGTGTCCAGCTCTAGAGGGCAGTGCTCACCTCCGTTTCTTAGCCAAGGGAGCCAGCATTGTCTGAAGACACTTCCATGGTCATGTGGCTATCTTGACTATACGCCGAGGTGCACAGAATGCTGTTACCTTCCCACCAAAGTGGTACCTATTTATCTGCTTATATTTACATGCTTTTGAACTGCTAGATTTGCAGGAGCTGAGGCAAGTAACGGGAGCTCATTCCGTTCATGTGGCGCTTGGGTCTCAAACCCAAGCTGTCAGCTTTGTAGCTGACAAGCTCAGCATGTTTAACTGCTGAGCCACCATGCCCTTTGTTCCAGTCTCATCTAAGACACAAAGAAAGCCTGGTGATTTGGGGTAATCACTTTCTCTCAGTCCTAGGAAGAAAGCCTAGGCCTTTCAAAAATACTGCCAAAAAAATTCCAGGGATTAGTCCAGGAAGTCACCAGGAGTCCACATTGACTTGAAGATATCCCCCACCCCCCCAAAAACCACCCTAATCTTAGGGATTCCTGAGGCAAACTACTGAATACTACCACTATCTCAAATATCACACACACACAAAAGGCCAGAAACAATCCAAATGGTGTATGATTTGTCAGCAGCAATTTGCCACCAGTCATGGATCTATTCAGTATAACAGAAGCAGAATAATATGCTTCCTCTACTATAGAAGGGCTGTCTTACTGGAACTTTTGTTCCTTTAATTGGCAGACAATTTAGGTTGAAGAGTATCCTGGTATCATATATCTCTGATCCAGCAGCAGTCCATTGATTCTCTATTTCCTCTGGTACATTCAGTTTGCAGATTAACTCATGAGACAATTCCAGCTTCCATGCAAAAATAATTTTGAATATATTATATAGCAGAAATATTTTTTGCTATATATATATATACAGACTAAAATAGATAAGGGCAAAACAGGATATATTGGCAAAGGACCATATTATAGTATAAGAATTTAGCAGGGAAATATGTTTGGTATACAGAAGGATCAAAGCAACAATCTCCTATTGTAAATTCAATAAAGCATAATAATAAACTATGGCCAAAACATGTGAATATTTATCTGCTATGGCATTGCCAAATTGTTTTTAGCGTATTATGTGTAAAGACGATTATATTTAGCACAATTACAAAGAAGGCATGATCATCTTTGGTGGTTTCTATGTGAAAGTACTTTCCATGAATAAATGTTTTCATTTTTCATTAGCCAAAATGTAATGCCAATTCATTCACAAGTGGTGGATTATGGGATAATTTTATTAGTTTTTCAGATGCAGTTTTGGACTTCTTAATATGTTTGAGGGGAAAGCAACATGTATTGAGGCATTGCTTTCCTTGTATTTCTCCTCCCTTTTAAATAAAATAGCAGTTTTGGCATCAGAATCTAAAGCATTTTTGTAATTCATGTTAGCTCCCAATATCTTATTGTTTGGGACCAATCCAAAAATTTCAGGATGATTTGTTAGGTACTAAAGTTGAAGAAACTTTTCATTTAAAAATGGAGACGAGCAGACAAAAGTTAGATAGGAAATAGCATTCTGTAGAATTTCTCATAGGGAAATTGTGTATTTCCTTGTAAAGAGAAACTATCAACTCTTGTTATTAGTGAGAAGTACTGGAATGTTCTATTCTCTGTTTAGGAAGCTTCTATCAAACTGATTTAGTATCTGAACAACAAAAAGAAAGAAAACCTTACAATTCATAGAAATAAACTTGACTATGTGTTTGTCCTAATACTTTAAAGAGGTTTTCCTTTTGCTATAGTTAACTTCGTCAAAATGTAATTTGTGCTCTGTAGCCAGAGTAAAATTTTAAAGTGCTTCTAAAATGCTTCATGTAATATCTAAATCCTGATATTCAGAAAACTTATCTATATTTGTATATGTCTAATTGTTGTTTCTAGTAAATGAACTGGAATTGTTATTGAGTTCCCAGAATGCTCTTCTATCAAAATTAAAAGAAGAATGTTGTCAATTGGCAAAGAAGCTTGAACATGTTACTGAAAGAAATAGGTAAAGAAAGCCTATAATTTTGTATGTGAAACTATTAGAAAGTATAAGATTTCCCTTTTATTTGTAAGTGCTCAAAAGAAAGCTGCTTCCCCATAGTAAGACATGTTAATTGCTGTAGATTTTGGCTGTTTGTGATCACTAATCTCTTTCCTTCCTTCTTTTACTCCCAATGAACATATTTAATATGTGGACAACAGCAGATGCTGATTACGGCCAATATACAGTATAGACATTATATGCTCATACTAATGAAAATCTATGATTTGTATTAATATATAATCTCTCTCTCTCTCTCTCTCTCTGTGTGTGTGTGTGTGTGTGTGTGTGTGGTATGTATGTATGGGCTTCCTTCCTACAAAAAGAATTGGTGATTCCTAATTGAAAATGAGAAAGAAGTAAATATTTGCGTATCACAGTAGTTGTAATCACAATATATGTGCAATGTTAGCTTTTTCTAAAATTACCATTTTTATTAACTAAATTAGCTGAATACTTTTAATACATTATGGATTGCAAATTGTTAGTCTTATGGACTGCCTAAAGCAGATATAAATAAGTTTTTAAATAAAATTGTTTCTAAGGTACATATTCTTTGTAAGGGATAAATAAATACAACACATAAGGAATTGTTTACCCATTTTGGACACTGCATATTTATTTATGAATATGCACTCTATATGTCACCCTTGCCAAAAAACAACAACAAGTATCTGATTCAGATTAAGTTACAAACATTCAAGGGACAATTATTTGTATAGTTGGGCATTGAAATGCTATTGCTACAGTTGGCATCTCTTTTACTGTACCTAATGCTAATCATGTTAATCTGAATAGAAGTGGACAGTGCTTTTTTTTCTAAAAAAAAAAAAGGTGCCGGAACTCACACACTTCATACAACCCGCCTTGCCTACCCTACAAGGTTCCATCCAAAAAAGGTGCCGGAATTCCATTCTGGGCGTTCTATGAGAAAAAAAGCCCTGGAAGTGGAACCTTAAACTAAACGTTGTAGCATGCAGTGCTTTTCTATACATTCATAACATCTCCATCCTCACTGTGTTCAGTTTGCATGGGGCATTGATACCCATTCTTGTTGAGAGAGATGGGAGTTGTAATCCATACCTGGAAAGAACATAGAAAAGACTTTTATAGAAAAATCTAGAAATACCTACCAGCATCATTACTGCTTATAGCTAGAAACTCACTTGTGCCTTTATCCCCTTGAAATTACAGAAGAATCTCCAGGGCAATATTCTTGAAGTAATTACCATATTCTTCCGTGTATTTTTTCCTGCAAACACCCTGTTCAAAAATCAAGTGCGTCTTATACAAGTGCAGCGTCTTATACACAGAAAAATAATGGTAACCTCCACAGCCCAGGCCATGTGGGTTGCCATGCCGCCTGGTGCAGGTGTGAAGCCCCTGTGGGCTTGCCACTAACAGAAGGGGGGAGGGGGCAAGATCGTTGGCCGGCTGAATTTCTGGATTTGCCAACTCAGCTGTTCGGCGCTCCACCAAATAGCTGATCAGCGCGGAGAAATACGCATGTCAGAGCGTCTTATACAAGGGTGCGTTTTATAGGCGGAAAAATACGGTATTAGCAACTTTGTTGATGGAGATTGGAGCATTCTGCAACTGAGAATTAATTTTAGAGTGATTAATCTGATAGCCTGTCAAATTCATGGTGAATCCATTTTGAAACTGCTTTATTAAAATTTCTGTTGTGCAATACATAATTTGCTGGCAAAATTAATAATGATTGTGTATGAAACGGATAAAGATTGGAAAAATTGTAATAAATAATGTATGTTTCTTATTCACCATGTCACAAATACATATTCTAAATACCAAGAAACTAACATTGACACTAACATTTATAAATAAGATGATTCGGAATATAATTAAAAGTTATCTCCTCAGATTATGCCTCTTAAGATATATCAGAAGTCGAGCATTTTTACAAGTATCAGGCCGTTCATGCTGTGTAAACTTCATTGTCTAGATCAATGATTCAAATTAAATTATAGTTAAGTGAAATACTTCCTTCATTTTTAAGTTTTGGCCTCCTTTGCTGTCTAGGATTATATCTATTTTGGTGCTATAGAACAATATTGACATTAACAGACCACTTTGAGCTATTTCACGCAATCAAGGAGGCTCAAGCAAAGCTTCTTAAATGTTATGATTTTTAATACCAAAAAACAAAAGTATTTTCCATATTAAGTATACTTATTTGTTGGCACAGTGCTTTTATTTATTAACAGATTAAAGAATTTTTCTACCATTTGAACCAAGAAAAGGATATAATATCTCAAAATATTCTTTGAAGTTTTAGTATATTACAGCTTAAATTTAATAAAACATAATGCATTAAGGATTACAGTTCTTTTGGCAAGATTGTCAAGAAGTGAATTATATTGATTAATATATAGAATATCTTGGGACTGATTATATTCAGGGTGTGTAAAGATGCAGTTATCTTACACAAATAGATTGCAAACTAGCTTTATACTAATGTATAATATTGGTGGCAAATTGTTCAGAGGAATCTATAATAATAAAAAATTAGCTTGAGCAAAAAATTCCCCACATACATAGGTGGACCTTGGACATACTGAACTTACTCCCCTCCAGCTGCACATCTACAGTAGCTCTGTGTAACACGTGGACTTGTAAAAATACAATTCTTTAGTGTTTTCTATATGTTTTTTTCCTTTGTTGGATTATCATGGTGTCTTAAGGTTTGTGGATTGATGCTTGACACTGTCTATTGTGTATTTGTGATTTGCGCTTTGTAATTAAGTGCAACAATGGAAGTCCATTGGGTCTCATTATATATAATGGTTGGTTTAATTTGTTTCAATTCTATCTTGTTAATTGTAAATTGATCATTAAGATTTGAATTCTAATCTGTCACCAGGGTTGAGTGTATTGAAGCTAGAGAAATGATCCTGTTTTTAATCACCGATTATGAGAAACAAATTTTATAATTTTGGTGCACATTGCAGTCCATATATTTTAACACTGTTTTTATGGTGTTATAAATATTGTTAAATGACTTTTAGTGTAGTTTTACTGTTTCCCTATAATGGATAAATTATATTACCATTTTGGCAACAGTAGGCATCCAACTGTGTGAGTTTAATTGAAGTAAAGAACATGCACCCGGTTGAACTGTTTTTCTGCATGTTCAATTGATGCTGCATTGGATGACTGCAGTCATTACAGTTAAACACCAGGAGTGTCTTGCAAAAGTAGAGAATCAGAAGGTAAAACTGAACTTGTGTGGAAAAGTGAGCCACAACTGTGATACTCTATTTTTTGTCCTAATCTCAAATCTTCAGAAGCTACCTCCAATTTAATTATATTATGCTTATGTTATATTAATTTCTGATGAACAAAAAAAATTGTAGTGAACCAAATATTTTGGGTGAAATTTTTGTATGTCTGTCAAAATTAAAGGAACAAAACTGGCTTTTAAAGCTAAATGTGCACGGAGTGATTTACAACAGCACTTAAAAAATGACTTATGATTATTTTTCACACATATAATCTTTACAGCATCCCCATGATCACGTAAACCAAAATTTGGATGCTTGACGACTGGCATGTATTTATGACAGTTGCAATGTCTCGGGGTTATGTGATCAGCTTTTGTGACCTTCAGAAGCCAACGGGGAAGCCAAATTCACTTAACAACCATGTTACTAACTTAACAACTGCAGTAATTCACTTAACAACTGTGGCAAGAAAGGTCATAAAATGGGGCAAAACTCACTTTGAATCAGAAATTTGGGATCAATTGTGGTCATAGGTTGAGGACTACGTGTACAGTAGCTTCTTGATGGATCAAGATTTACAAACGCTTAGTAATGCTACATTTTGCATCTGTGATATTTCAGTAACATTGCTGTGCCTACACCACAAAGAAAATATGTGAGTGAAATGGCAGAATTGTGGGTTTAATTATTCGCCACAGTAACTCTTTTATTATTTAAAATATACATTTTGTGACTCCAGTTTTCAAAATCACTTGTGTCGTGCCATATTTTTAATCTGAGGTTCACAGAATTTTGTGGAAAGTCTTTCTCATGAAATATGCTTAGGATTTATTTATTTATTCATCAATCAAATTAATACGGCTGCCCATGTGACTTGAAATGACTCAGGGTACCATACAACAAAAAATATAAAGCATGTCAAAAACATGTCAAAAACAGACAAAACATAAAACACATAAGAGATTAGATCAGTTTCACCAATCCGCTAAAATCTCCAGGCCAGATGACATAACCAGGTATTGAGGGACTTCCAGAAAATAAGTTGGGATGGAGATTACCACATTTTGGAAGGGGGGGGAAATGTCCCATAATGCAGTTACCATGGCACAGAAGGTCTGCCTCCTCAGGCCCACCTAATGTAGTTCCTACAGTTTTGTGACACTGAAAACTATATTATCTTCCTGCAAAGTAAATAAAATTATATAAGGCAGTTTCTCATATAGTTATTCCCTAGTGTAATGAACTCCCCCCCCCAAGTCTGTGGTTTAATTTATTTTAATTTATTTTATATTTATTTATTTACAAAACTTATATGGCTGCCTAAATCCCTCACAGCGACTCTGGTCAGCTTACAAAGATAAAACCCAGGTACAAAAGCCTATAAACCCCCTCTCCCCTGGCAACAATAGTTCAGCCATTTACATCATAGTGTCCTCTAAATTAGACTATAACACCTATTATCTAAGTCAGTGCTGGTCTAGATAGAGGCTTTAAGTTGCAGATTCTGATAGATTTATGCCCCCAGCTATGCAACAATATTGCCAGAGTACTTTTTGATATTCCCTGTTCTGAAGAAAGATGCAGATGTGAAATATAGAGTTGTTAAGTTGATGATAATCTGCATGATAAAATCTGGAAACATCCATCATCAATGTTCTTAATTCTCTAGGTCGGAAATCAGCCAGCTTAGTCAGGAAAATGAGTATATCCATGACAGACTTGAGAAGGTGCAGAAAAGGCATGATGAATTGGAGGATCAGTGTATCCAGCATGGAAGGATGCATGAGAAAATGAAGCTAAGGTAGGGAGATTTATTAATTTATCCCTGTGTGGTTTACTATAACAAATCTGATGTTCCTATACTTTTAATTTCAAAAACATGATCAATATTTTAGGTAATTGCTTAATGTTTTAAAAATTTAATAGTTAAGAAATTCAAATACAAATGCAGTCCAAATTATATTCAAATATGCTTGCCTCCAATAAATCATTTTCATGTCTTTGTCAGCAACTATATTTCAATACTTTTTTAAAAAAATAATATAGGTATGTGTGTGTATGTTAAACATATATCTTATTTTGAAAAACCTCTCTATCCAGTTGAGGCAGACCTCCATATCACTCTGTGGCTATGATAGACAGGATTGTTACCTTTTAAACCAGTCAGGTAGACTTAGGTATGCCTCTTCATCTATATTTGCCATGAGACTTAGCTTCTAATGTATATATCCTGGTATTAATAACACAGAAGAATGATTGCTGAACATTTAGAATAGCTTAAAATATTAGGGTTTTTTTTTTAGTATCCAGGCTACTCTTTCCCTTTTTGCATTATTATTCTTTGTGTTCAATCACAAATCAACTTTCTTGCTTATTGCCTCTGAGGCAGCTGACCTTCTCTAACATGCCATCTGCAGTCACCCCTACATCTGTTTAAGAAATGCCACTTCTTCAGTTTTTTCCTCTCACTGAATTTCTAAATGTCTTACTTGCTGTTTATATATCTTGTCATTTATAATCGTTTGGCCTAATTTCCAGTCCTCTTGGTAATATTCATATCAGAACCTATTAAGTTGCAAAATGGCACTAATTTGTATTTACTACATTAGTGGTTTAATCTAAGGTTTGCAATATTTCCTTACAAATATATTATCTACTAATATTTCAGATATTACTGTTTGTGACAATATGTGTTTACCTTGTCCCCTCAGAATAAAGGCAGTTGACAATCAATTCATCAAATGCTCCACCCTTCCATTTCAAACGTGTCATAAAGTTTGTTTTAGCTTTAATAAAGGAGAGGGAGATTTGACCTTTTTTCTCTTCAGATTTTTTTCTACCATACATTTATATCCTCACAATTGGTTGTGAAATAGTATCAGATTCTGTGTTCTATCTACCTTTATCAAGCAACTTTTATTGTTATTCTATAGCTGCTGGCTCCATAGATCCTTGGCTTTGAATTAGAGACTTCAATATTGTACAGTACTGTGGTGGTTTCTTTTGATCTCCCAATATAGAAGAATTGCAGTTGCAGCCCAATTTAACCCAGAAGATAATCTGAAAGGAAAGATAAAAAATGTGGCAAGGATATACACGTAATTCTTCTTTTTTTACCAGGATAAATAACAACTCCCAGAAATATTTGAATTTTGATGTGTTTAATCAGTTTAATAAGCTTTGTCTTCCTGTGCCCATTTCTACTTGGCCCAGTTTTTCTCCATTCTTGTTCTCCTTTACTTTGTAAAGGTTCTTATTATTGTTATTAAAACCCTTAATAAAAATGTTATATATTATATAATATATATATATAACATCTATAATATAAAGAGAGAGAGAGATTCCTACATATAGTGGCAGGGTATAAGATGCAGGCAGGAACAACATGCACTGAATGGCACAACCAAGTAACTGGCACGGTGTACAAGAACATCTGCACAATGTTGTAGCAGTGCTATGTGACAGCAACGTCAGAAAGAAGGAGTATGAGAATCTGGAGAAATACCAAGGCCTGAAGGAGGAAATGGAGTCGATATGGAAAGTAAAGGCCAAAATGGTCCCAGTGGTAGTAGGAGCCCTTGAGCCTCTGACTCCTAAGCTGGAAGAGTGGCTCCAAAGATCCTAGGAACAATGTCAGTGCACTTTGTTGAGAAGAGTGCAGTGCTAGGAATAGCTAAGATACTTCACAGAACCCTCTGTTCTCTCATGGCCTCTCAGTTCATCCCATGAAATACAAATGTCTTTTATAGGGTGAGAAGGGAATGTTATTATATATAAAGGAAATGAGTATGGATTTGGTATAGAACAGGTGAGATCCTCAGCATAATTTTTGTCATAGCAGCAGTTATGGAATGCTTATCCAGTTCATATCAGGGTTTAATAAATGAAAGTCTGCCAACAGAACAAAATCAGCTGAAGCTCTGGATATCTCCATTGACTAATCTTCATTAACTGTGGTGGATATAAGTAACTTTTCACTAAGCTATTCTATAGAAGCCCAGAACTATTTAAAAAGACAAAAAAAAACCCCACTTCAGTAGTATGGTACAAATTCACTAGTAGGTTTTTTGTGTGTGTGTGTGTTCTGTCAGCAGAAGTACATATTGTCATAAACATGTTCTCAGCTGTAATATATGGATATGAAAGACCACCAAGAGAATACATGCTTATCAAACACTAAATAAAAGTGGAACCAACCTTAATTGCCTTAGAAATGGAAGATTAGAGATGGAATTGGAAGATTAGACATGGAATTCTGCCACAGAAAAAAAATGCTGTTCCATTTTGTCACTAGTGTGCCATATCTTGGTGATGAAAACATTCTCTGAAATCAATTTTTAAATAGTGGACAGGATCATATGAAAAGTTATACTTTTCAAATGTACTGGCCCTAAATTATTTAGGGTTTTCTGGGACCTGCATCTTAGCTATGATCAAGAGAGATTGAAAACTTGAGCAGTTGGTATGGGAATAGCGTATCATGGTAAACAGAGCCTGCATAAGAAGGCAATGTGACCACATTATTTTTGATTTGAGTGTTTCCAAGCATTCTTCAAGGGCAGGCCCCTGGAAAAAATAGCTACATTAATTTAAACATGAGATAATTAAGACTTACATCATTATGGTCATGTATGTCTCCTGCAGAAACAGGCACAACTGGTACACTGTGCTGGATCTAAAATTACCTCCAGGCTTCAAATCTGCTTCAGAGGGAACGCAGCCCAGTTCTGAATAGGGTATACCTACAGTTTCACTTTGTCATATCTGTGGCCAACCAAACTTCCATCTTATCTGGACTGAGTCTTGATTTGATTGTATACATTCAGTGTCTTCCAGTGTTTCAGAATATCATCAGTCAGAGAGAAGAGATCTAGCCCCATCTTTCTCCTGTACATGCAGAATAAGATTTTTCTATAAGTAGGAAGAAATTATTCTACTATAAATCAGAAATAAGCTTCCTTTCCTGCACTGAATATGACAGCTGGAAACAAGAAAAGAGGTGGTCATTGTCAGAAACTGCAGATGTTGGGGGGAAAGCCTAGTGTGCCAAATGGGAACTTTTGTGGGGTTGATTGCTCTACAAGCTGGAAGTTCATTAAGCATCTGAAGATCTTAAATGCTTCAGAAAACCAAAATGTTTGAGTTTAGAAGAGCACTCAACAATTCTGTGAACTTATCCTCCAAATCCATCAAGTGGTTAGAAAAATCTTCCAAAGCCTTGAAAATTCCACCTAGTTTCATCTGAGAATAGGCAAATTGCAATTGTTGTAGCTCCAAATCTTAAAGCATAATAGTAGATAGTTTAAACAGTAGATAGTTTAAACTAATTTAGGTCACTTATATTTTGGCCAGAAACAAAAATGTGTCTTGTCATGTTTGTGACTATGATTAATCACAATGAAAGTCATAAAGTTCTAAGCTACATCTGATGAGAAACTTCACTGAGTTTCCTTCAAAACATTGGAGGAAAAGTCAGCATTAATTTTAAAGTCACTTCTACCAATACAGATAGAATACAGGAAATAAATGAGCATATCACCATATCCTGTTGTTGACTTATGGTCTCATTATGAGGTGGGGCTTTACTACATGGACCCAAAGAACTTTGCCTTTTCTTGCAGGCTGTCATTCAAGAAACCTGATGAACAGAGTTGAATCTGTTTGAATCTTTTATCTTCACTCAACCAGCTTCAGTCACATATGCTACTTGTATAGCAGCTTATTTGTTGATAGAATAAAGCAGAACATGAATCATACCTCAATGACCAGTGTGTTATTTTTACCACACTGGGAAAAATTTACTATAATGTCCACATAATCACTGAAATGACAGCACCTCATCTCTCCTTATCTTGATACACAATTGAGCCTAAGACAACAAAACAGTTGTGGAAAGCATTCATTCCTTAAATGTGGTCATCAATCAGATCTAGTCATACAGTCAAACATAAAATATAAAACAAGCAAAAACTCAAATCAGTTCAGCCTAGCCCATTTTTTTAGAACTTATTTGAATTTTCAGTATTGTAATCATTGCTCATCCTAATTCTCACACCCTAAAAGCCTGAAAACGTCTCTTGTAATTATTTGTAATGTCATAAAACCAGAATTATCACAGTAAGAAAGATATAATTGGCTGGGAGTGCCATAAATCCAGTTTTGACTTTAAAAAAAACCAAACACCTTACAAGTTAGTGATATTGGCAGGATTGCCTAATGCAATGAGATGCTGTATTTTCTAGAATGTTAAGTTTTGATTCCTGATTAAAAATACAACTATATGGTTTTATAACCACTGTCATGGTTAGATTGCTGTAATTATGCAAGTTCACTGGAATTAGTCAAAATGTTATATCTTTTCTTTTTCTTAGACAAAATAATATAAATTTGCTTGCACTCATGTGTAGCAGAATTAATGTATCAGTGCCTCAGGGAAAAGAGAGCTGTTTAAGACAAGAGATGGTGTTTTAAAAACAATTCATTTGTTTTTATTTCTACATGAATCAGTCACACATGTAATTAATACCAGTCATTTCCATAGCATAGTAACAATTAAAAACATCCCTTCAAATAATATTTTACATTCCATGGCTATTCTTTGATTAGTTGACCTGATGTTTGCAAATCCAAAAGAGGTTTTTGCTGTCTATGTAGCTTTATCTACTGTATGTCTATGAGTATGACCAATATTTTGCTTTTAAAATTGGCTTCTAACACCTACTTGATCTCTTTTGAGTACCATAATTCAAACGAAAAGCTTAGAGGATTGGCAGTTTGGGGCAGATGTGTGTCTATTCCTCAGGCATCAGTGGCTGTAAGTTAACAATTAAAAAAAATGTACAACCATCTGTGTAACAAGATGGCAGAGCTCTGCACTTGCCTGTTACTATAAATAAGAAAAAAATCTTGTCTAATTTCATAGATGTTAGATTATAAAGACTTGATGTGTCAAATGTGTATTATGCTTCTGGGTTGTATTGACAGCCAAATACCTGGAGTGGTGGCCTTTTCAGAATTGAAGGCAAGCATATCATTTATGGAATCTATTTCACCGTGGTACATGTTATATTTGATACCATATTTTTATAGTGTTTTTTATAGAAGTGAATTTACTAATATCCCCCTTCTTTGCTCATTCTCTCGTCTCACGCATGAGCTATAGCTCTTAAAGGAATCCATCAGATTCTATTGATTAATATCCTTTGCAGTTAGGTGTTGCAGTGAACATTTCTTAATTGTAGAAAATATGTGGTTAACTCTACCTGAAAAATGAATTAGGAGTATTGTCTTGAATGGTTCTTTAGACATGACTATATTTATGATTATGATCCATTCTCCAGCACTGGAGATGGAGGATCCACCCGTGGGTTGAGACTGTATTCCTGCCCAATCAGATCAAGTCAGCCAAAGTTGTCACGCCCTGTCCCTGGACCTATGCCCAGTCTTGACTTGATCTTGCCCATGGACAGGACGTACAACTCTGGCTCCTAGGTACAGTCTAGACTTTGGTGCATTTTCCATCTCCTTGCTATTAGATCACCTTATCTAAATTTAGTTCCCTAAATTATCAATCTCTCAGCTAGCTTAAGATCAGCTCTGTAGTGGGGGGAGCAAGCTCATAGGAAGACTGAAGGGGGCCCCTTCTTTTTTCCCTCCCCCCAGGAGCTCTCTCAATTTAAAAATAGACAGCTGAGCTTGTTTTCTGGATCTAACGGCTGTTAGATCCCAGAGATCCCTCCGGAGATCGCGGCTGCGGGCCCGGTAGCGTGTAGGGCGTCATAGCTAACTGAGATTACTACATAGCTAGGCCGCAGGAGCTTTCTTCAGCGAATAGGGCCTCGGCTTGGTATTTCCACGTAGAGGCCGCAGGAGTTGTTAGGCAGCCTCCAGACGCGCGGGCGCCCCAAACGGACGCCGATCGGCTCTTCTGTGGCCGATCGCAGCTTTAAACTTTATTCGAGCAGCGGCGGCGGTTTTTTCTTGCATTTTGGGACCGCAGCGTGCTGTTAGAGAGGAAAAGAAGATTCTCCTCAGAATTTAAGCCGATCTTCGCTTTGCGCGCGCGGCCGCCATTTTGGGGACCGCGCGGTCGCGAAGGCAGCTAATTGCTCGGCTAATTCTCGGTGTTCAGGGGGAATAGCACCGAACGGGTTGCTCATCCTCCTGAAACACCCGAAGCAGAGTTGCCTGGTCTCGTTCACGGGGGTCTCCCTTCCTACGAGGGACACCGAGCCGGTGATTAGGGCGCGGCCGCCATTTTGTTCAGGCATCCACGAGGCTCCATTAGGCACGGGCGCCATTTTAAGCTAGTTGGCAGCCAATCAGTCAACTCTCTCCACAATTTCTAGTCACAATTAGATTTTGGACTTAATAGAACGCAATCACAAAGCTTTACTAGACCTCTCCTTTCCTTTGCTTGGTGCCTCCTGAGTAAATTATTTTCTGCAGTCCCTTTTTTTTTGCATTGGAGGTATTTGGGTGTGCATAAAATTTGACCACCTCCGGTAATTCCAGCGGACTTACGGTGACCCCCTCAGAGCACCGGTCCTTGTTTGTGACACGTGGCACACGGGCACCAGGCACTCCCATAGCGTGTCTGTCGTTGCCTGTGATTGCAGAAGTACCTGGGTCCCTGGCATCCTTTGGAATTGCGTCCGGTTGTACCCAAGGTGATAATTCCCTCTAGATACCGGAGGCCCCCGCTTGAGCCCCCGCGCTATCAGAGGATGGACTGTGTGGATTTCCTCGAGAAGGAGGTCGTGTCCCCTTCTCTGGCCGCCTTAAACACAATGTCATCTCATCTGGAGGGATCAGTCAGGGCTGCGCAGAGTAATAAGAAAAAATTGGCAAAGACGACTTTAAAGGATAAGCACGCCACCAGGAGACACCAAGCCCTGGAAAGAGAGTTTTCTAGGGCACAAAAAATAGCCCGAATGGACAACTCTCAGACTGGGGGGCGGGAACAGGAACCAGTTACCCAGATCCCAGTTGCTCAGGCACCTCAATGTATACCAGAGGCCACTTTCTCACCCACAGCGGCTGGGCTTCGCCAGGCCGAGCAGTTTTCTTTTCCTTCAGAAGAGCGATTGTCACTTTTAATTGCTCAAGCAGTGGACCGCGCTCTGAACGCTAGGGCGGTTCCTAAACCTCCAGTCATGGTTTCCCCTCCTATAATTTCCCCTCCTACCCCACATCAGGCAGATGAACCTCAGTCCGGCCCCTCCTCTCCAGCTGAATCCTTGTATTCTGAGGGTTTGTCGCTACCTGATCAGGGCTCTGACCAGGAGTTTCCGATGTCTGAGGAAGAGGAACAGTCGGTGGAGGCTCCGGCGTCCACTGGAATGTTCCACTCTTCGGCTTTCATTACCTTGCTCCGCAAGGTCTCTTCCACCGCACACCTTGGTGCTGAGCCTCCTTCCACATCGAATACGACTACTCCCGATCCGGATTTGGATCCAAATTTTACTGAACCGGTGGCAGCTCAGCACCGGATCCCATGTCCGCCCATGTTTCTAACTGCGGTAAAGAAGCAATGGGCGCTCCCGGCCTCCTTTCCCCTTCCGAGTGCCACGGACAAAAAGCTGTTCAACGTGGCCAAGGAATTGGAGGAAGCGCTGGAGGTCCCTGCGGTGGATGAGCCCTTCGGACCATTAATTTCCCCTACGGCCATAGCTGGCGATGTCTCGGAAGCACTGAAGTCAGAGGACCGTAAGTGCGAGTTATCCTTTCGCAGGATCCACCAGGCATCCGCTTGGGCTATTAGGGCAACGACGTCAGCGTCGTTCTTCACCAGAGCCGCACACCGTTGGCTAAAGCAACTACAGGCCCGAACCCCCAAAGACGATGTCCGCTCTCAACAGGACATCAGTAAGATGGTGGCAGCGATGGAATACGCCTCGGATGCTACGCTCCAGGCGACTAAGTTTGCCTCCAGAGCTATGGCCTCAGGGGTCACCAGTAGACGCATGCTTTGGCTTAAGCATTGGCAAGCTGATGCCAAATCCAAGTGGCGTCTGTCCTCTGCTCCGTATCAGGGGGGTAAGTTATTTGGTGAGGCTTTGTCTCCTTATCTCTCAGAGAACAAGGATAAGCGCAAAGTGCTCAACCATATCCTTAAGAGGTCAGACAAGAGGCAAACTTATGTACCCCGTAAGCAGTCCTTTCGGGGGGGAAATAGATACAGCTATTCACCCTCCTTTCGTCCCTTTCCACCCAGAACGGACCGTCAAGAGGGTCAATTTGACAGGCAGGCGAGCAAGCTCAGGCAGCACTACCAGGGTAACCAGGGTAAGCGGCCCTTTCGTGGGAGCGGCCGGCCATTTCGTCGCTCCAGGTGACTCCCCGGCAACGGGACCTCCCATAGGGGGCAGACTGTCACTGTTCTTCCACCAATGGGAGGCCACCACCACGGACAGGTGGGTCCTGAACACGATAGGGTCCGGCCTCTACCTGGATTTCACCTCCACGCCTGTAAACAGGTTCATTTCTTGCCCATTCCCCAGGAACCCTGCCAAGAGAGTTCTAATGGGCCAGGCCATTCAGCATCTCCTGGAGGTAAGGGCCGTAGAAACCGTCCCGGTGGACCAAAGAGGTCGGGGGTTTTACTCCATCCTCTTTGTCATTCCAAAACCGTCGGGAGGATGGAGAGCCATCCTGGATCTAAAAAATTTGAATCATCATATCAGATATCAAAAATTCAAGATGCAGACACTCCGCTCCATTTTGGGGAGCGTGAGAAAGGGAGACTTCCTGACATCCATCGATCTCACGGAAGCGTATCTCCATATCCCCATCTCTGTCGACCACCAGCGGTTTCTACGGTTCAGTTACAAGGGAGAGCATTATCAATACAGAGCTCTACCCTTTGGCCTCTCGTCGGCCCCCAGGGTGTTTACCAAGGTCCTGGCGGTCCTGGCAGCTCACCTACGGATGGTACCAATCAGGGTCCAGTGTTACCTGGACGACATCCTAATCCAGTCGACCTCTGCCCACTCGGCACGACAGGATCTCGACCAGGTAGTACGGCTGCTCCAGGATCACGGGTTCTCGGTAAATTTCCCCAAGAGCCACTTGATCCCCACGACTCGACTATTGCATTTGGGGGCCGTCATAGACACCATGCAATGCCGGGTGTATTTATCCCAGGAACGGTTGTTCAACCTGAGGAAATCCATCCGTCAGGTGCGCAAGGGACAGAAGGTCTCCCTGCTCAGCCTTTCCAGGGTGCTAGGACAGATGATTTCGGCCATAGACATAGTGCCGTGGGCCAGGCTCCACTCCAGGGAATTGCAGTGGTTCCTACTCCCCTTCCAGAGGCAAAACATCAGTGCCTCTCAGAAACGGGTGAGGCTTCCATCTCAGACCTCGCTTTCCCTCAAGTGGTGGCTTTCCCCAGCCGTCCTCAAAGGGTCGTTGTTCAAGGAGCCGGAGAGGCTCCTCATCACGACCGATGCCAGCCTCTTTGGTTGGGGGGCGCACCTTCGCTCCCATTGGACTCAGGGCCGTTGGTCTCACTCCGACCTCCGCCACGATATCAACTGGTTGGAACTGAGAGCCATACATCTGGCTCTCCTTCACTTCCACAGACAGGTCCGAAGGCGTCATGTGTTGGTCCTCACGGACAACATGACGGCCAAGGCCCACGTAAACAGGCAGGGAGGCACTCATTCTCGGATCCTTCTGAACGAGGCATTAATATTGGGGACCTGGGCGGAGCACAATCTAGCGTCCATCAAGGCCGAGCACATCTCGGGGAAGGACAATACCCAGGCAGATGTCTTGAGCAGAGCGACAGTAGACCACTCAGAGTGGAGG